ATTTTACTTTGCTACTGTGCTACAATGCAACTGTGCTACAATGCAACTGAGATACAATCTATCTGTGCTACAATGCAACTGTACTACCAGCTATGTGCTCTAGTGCAACTGTGCTACAATACAACTATGCTACAATCTAACTGTGCTACAATCTATCTGTGCTACAATAACTGTGCTACAATGCAACTGTACTACCAGCTATGTGCTATAATGCAACTGTGCTACAATGCAACTGTGCTACAATGCAACAGTGATACAATCTATCTGTGCTACAATCTAACTCTACTAATGCTCTACTACATTTCTTACTACTATGGTAGTTACTGTGTACTATGTTACTAGAGGAGCTCTCTACAACTTTACTACTTGCCTGTACTACTTTAGTACTTGGGTAGTACTATTTTAGTGAAACTGTACTACTTTACTTTTGTGCTACTATACTACTTTGCTATTCTCCTACCTTAGTTATTATACTACTTTAGTACAGTTTTCTTTTCTACTGTACTATTTTCTTACTATGCAACTGTACTACAGCTACTGTACTAGTCTCCTGGTTCTCCAGCAGTAATGTATCACTATAGTACCAGACTGAGTAACACACAAGTCTAAAACGGTGTTATGCACTACAGCATAGTACTTACAATAATGAACGATAAATATAACGTATAAATGTCATTCATTTTAATTTTTTACAGAGTATCTACCAGCCCACTCTCTGATTCCTGCTTTTAAAAATATGATATTTATATTATTTGATATTATGCTAAACAAAAAACAAAATTATTTGTACACAAATTTATTAATTTTAAAATCGTTTCACTTTCATGTTCCATGTGTATTTGACTTCAGTTTGTAGGGCATATTGTATCATCTATGGTATCATGCTCTTATTGATAAGTGCTGATATGTGTATAGATTTATATGTATATATTTTTTATTGATTTGATTTTTATACCACAATAAATTAATTATTTGTAGTGCAAGTGCATATTCTTTGGCTTTTCAGTTGTGGTTTACAGGGCATCAGCTAGTCGGGCAGTCTTATTGGCCCATTTATATTTGTTTAGCTACAATAATTCAATATATTCATAATTCTCTCTCAGCTGTAGCTTACAGGGCATCTGTTAGCCGCAACGCATTGAGTTCTAAAATTTCAGTCTCATTATTTTTAATATTTTATTTTTTTATTTTTTATTTGTATTTTTTTTTTTGCATTTTAATGAATATGCAAAGCGGCAGCGTTAACGTTGACTGCTGCTGCCTGTTTGCGACTTCATTAGCGACACCCCCCGCCCCCCCCCCCCCCCCCCCCC